GATGCTGCAATAGGCCCCCCCCCCCCCAAAAAAAGTCTCCGGTTTCTGGTATGCGCGCGCGTCGCCGTAGCCATGCGCGTCGGCAAAATGAAAAAGGTTTTTTTTTCAATGAAAGATGATGTCTCAAAACCGCCAAACTCACTGGTTTGACTGGAATCCTGCTGCTGCACAATTTTAACGTGTTTTTAGATTGGGTTATGGTCGAGAATAAGCTATAGTTGCACTAAGTTTAGTCGGGCACCATTTGCAGTCATCAGCCGACATTTGAAGCAAAAAAATCAGGTAAAAAAAAAGCCGCTTCGCCGCATCACTTTTTGGGCAAGCTCCTTACCAGAAACCGGAGACTTTTTTTTTGGCCATAAGCATTCATTTTGAAACTGTCCGAACAACCGCCACTATAGTTTGTCAATCTGTTTACTGATACACAAAATAGCTGCAGGGTCCATGACGATCATGAGTGCAGCAGAGATATCGTTACGCCACGATGGCATCGGCCATGTGGGAAATTAGTTTAGAGATGAAAAAAATCCAGTTCAAGGAAATCAGTCAAGTGAACATTGAAGCAAATCAATAAAGACATTTTGTTAATTGATACTCTTCTTATTTAACAGAGAATAAACGTGCAATATGTCACCATCATTATCTTTTTATTTAAACACATTAACAAATTGGGAAAACTTGTACTTAATCCACATAATTTAAGATGAATTGAGATTAAGAAATGTGTGATTTTTCAATCAAATGTCGGTACCACCATAGAGAAAGGACACAGAAGGAGTCACAACTCTAATACTTCAAAGTGTTATAGGATCGTCGACGCGCTCGAAAGCAACAATAGAAAGCACCTGGCAGCCAGCTTGCTCAGTCGCTCACTTCACTAATGCTAGAAGAAAGAGCTTGCATTGCTTTGTGGATAGCGCCATGGTAATACGCATGCGTAGTTGTCATACATAGCCAAAAATTAATGATTTTGAAAGTGTTTGTTCGGAGTTGGCTAATACTGGGTAATAATGTGGCCAACATAACTGAAACAATCATTTCATGACGAAGAAAATGCTTTATGATGATACCTTTAGTGAGAAAACTTAGGAAATTTCCCCAAATATCATATTTCACAAATGCTTTTTTGCCAATTTAAATTTTCGAAAAGACATGATAACCTTTCGAGGGAAAAATCAATTCATCTTCAAAAATATATAGCAGGAACAGATAGCGCTTTCAAGGACCAACAAGTGCACATCGATAACTTGAATTCATAACTCACATCTAACAACTGCGCATCTTACCGTAAATAGTTTATTTTTTCAAAAAAGAGCAACGACGTGACATGACATATTATGCAGCATATAGGGAGGTTGTTGGTTACTAACTAGGCGGTAGCGATCATCGTGTTCAAAGGCCGCTTGCAGGCACGCAATGAATGGTCCAGGCTTGCGGTCACAGTGCTGTAGCTATGGACATTCCCGAGGGATTGGAATGTTAATGGTCAAAATGTAAATCACCGTTGTGAATCTTTCTCTGTCCTTTCTCTTTGGTACCACGTCCCTGGATTTGACACAAGGCACGCCCATTTTGATTCCGTAAATAGAAGTTCGTTGCGCGCTCTGAGACCAACTTTACTGGGCTGGCGTGATCCTCAAACTGAGCATTAATTAACTCATATCGTAATGTAACCTTTTCAGCATGCAACGATCGCAATACACCAATTTCTCTCCAACGCGTAACACACCACGATGACATCCAAAATCTAAACAGAATTTCTCAATTTCATTATGCAGTAAACTCCGGCTAAGCCGACATCGTTTAAACCGTCATATCGCTTAAATCGGCCGTCTGACGAAAGTCCGGATTGTCTCTAATGTATTTCCATCGACATTTTCATTTCTAAGACGGCCTTTGTAAGCCGCCATTTTCGCCTATGTCGGCGTGTTACTTTCAGTCCCATTTCCTCAAAACCACACAAATTCCTCCGTATGGTATAAGTCGGCATCGTGCTCTGCGGTTTGCAAGAAGTGTCGAGTGAAAAGTCCCACACACTGCTAACTGACATCTGTTTATCAATGGCACGGCCCGTGTGTACACTAATCGCACGTGTACACTGTTTCATGCACAGTCTGTACATTGTATGCATCGTTTGACATCCAAAACCTGTTCAAAGAAACGGAAAATGGAGACAAAATCATACAAAGAAAAGTACGATATCGTTAAGTTTTGTGAAGCAGAAAAAATCAGATGCCAGGAAGGGCAGTATAAAACGCGTCAAACAAGTAACTTACGATGATGTGAATTCTGGCCTCATCACATGGTTTCGGCAGAAATCCAGTTTGCTAACAAATAAGCCAAAGCATTAAATGAAAATGAAAGCGAAGGAAAATTGTAAGGTGAACATTTTTTTATTTACAGCTTTCTACTTTTGTAATACAATGTACTCTGCATTATGCATGGACATAGCCCACAGCCACTTGCGCGATCAAAAAGGGGGGGGGGTTCCCGATAGCACTGCACGCAGGCGCTCAGCTCATTTTTGGGGGTCCCCTTATTTAGTGGCGTATCCAGGAATTTTTCAGTAGGGGGGGGGGGGCGCAGGGGGGGGGCGCAGGGGGGGGGCTGGAACATTTCATGGGGGGGGGGGGCGTCATGTAGATCAATGATAATTTTTTTAGAAACTCAAAATCTCAGTGGGGGGGGGGGGTGACTGGGGGGCGACAAGGTTTCAGGGGGGGGGGCGGTCGCCCCCCCCCCCTCCCCACGCCCCCCGGTGGCTACGCCACTGCCCTTATTGTACCAGTACCATGCGCACATTAATTCGTGACTGCAATGTACACTACATGTACGTACGTGGACGTACAGTATGCAAGCGATCTGTATATCGTACCACTGTTAACGCCTGCCGGCCGCGCCGTCCTTGCTTCGTACGTACGTACATGTACATGCATGACTTTCTGTGATCAATACCACAGCCTGTTTGTGATGATAAACATTGAGGATATATTTGCTGGAATCAATCATGGATGTAGAAATAAACCTGGGTAAATCAAAGCCTTTGAATTTTTTAGAAACTCAAAATCTCAGTGGGGGGGGGGGGGTGACTGGGGGGCGACAAGGTTTCAGGGGGGGGGGCGGTCGCCCCCCCCCTCCCCACGCCCCCCGGTGGCTACGCCACTGCCCTTATTGTACCAGTACCATGCGCACATTAATTCGTGACTGCAATGTACACTACATGTACGTACGTGGACGTACAGTATGCAAGCGATCTGTATATCGTACCACTGTTAACGCCTGCCGGCCGCGCCGTCCTTGCTTCGTACGTACGTACATGTACATGCATGACTTTCTGTGATCAATACCACAGCCTGTTTGTGATGATAAACATTGAGGATATATTTGCTGGAATCAATCATGGATGTAGAAATAAACCTGGGTAAATCAAAGCCTTTGAATTTTAGCCATGAATGTTGTTTGCATGATCCAGATACAGATGCGCATAGGCCATTTCACTCCGTGATTTAATTAGTGTATTTGTGTAAGTCGGCAAAATGACGACTTGCAGCAGAAGCCGACATTCGCGTAAGTCGTCACAAATTTTCTGGGCCCGATAGTACCGTCTTAGCCGGAGTTTACCGTGGTATAAAATTGGAACTACAGAAGAACTTACGCAGACACCTACTTATGCCTAATTCCTCTCCTATTAACCAATGTGTCGTACTTTTCGCAAAGATGAAAGATAAAATCATTTAAAGGTGCGTAATTACAGTATACAAATGTAACAGGACGTTATTCACACGTGGTAATATCCATTATAAAGAACATGACATACGTAGTATATAACACGTTTAAAGCTTGCACTGCTTTAAGCATAGCCCGGGAATGGGCTTTACATGTGGCTTTATTGTCAAAATTGGGGAAACCGTGAACGTGGAAAGTTCCAAAAGCGGGGAGGGGGGACGCGAACTGACGATAGGAGCGTTTTTCAAACATCTACGTATTTTGCATACCAGTACATATTGCGCGTTTTACTTTCATTCCTCGCAGTCTTTTTTGTTTGAATTGAGGTCAAATTGGGTGTTGAACGCGTAATATCTTAGTGCTATTACACAGTGGGAATAATATGTGGAAAATATTAGAGGGCATTACTCCTTGCGTCTCCTGAAAAATTGCCGCAAAAAAATCTGCGGAGCTGTCTCTTTCATCCCACCCCTCTCTCCGGATCGCCACCCATGGGTGTTAGAAGGTATATCAAGGGATCAGTGGAATAATGCATGAGGGCAGGGACAAGAGGTAGAGGGGTCACGTCAACCTCGTTACCAGGCATTAACCAGTACGATACAGCTAGAGTCTTTCTTGGTACATGTATACTGGATCATTTGTACATCCGAAATAAAAGTGGTTTTTTTTCGAAACCTTTCCTTCGTCTTTTGAATAATTTGGAATCAAACAAAATGAACTATTGTAGCTTTTGGCTTCATATCATACAATTGAATGTTCCTGAAACACGTAGCCTACCAACATTTACCCGCAGTTCCCAATATCGGGACCTAACATCTCCTGAAGCCATAGACGAAGACAGAGCCTGAATTTCGGGTACCTTTACCAGTGGTGGCGAGTTCTCGTCAGCATTTGGGGGGGGGGGGCATTTGCGCTTATTATGTGCAAAAGGTTAAGCACAAGCAATATCGTACAGCTATGACACCTTTTGGGAAAAATACAGTGCAAAGTTATGTACTCTGGGTTAAATCTATACGCAATGGAATAAATTATTGGGGCGGGGACAACGCCATTGACGTCCCCCACTCAGAAATTATTGGGGGAACATCCAACCACCTCCCCGCCCCGGATCGCAGCCCATTGCCTTAAAATACTGCAAGTCAACAGGTACAGACACTAAATCAATTTGTCGTTGCGGATCACATTGGCAAACACGTGGGGTTTTTTTTCAAAGTGAAATGTGCTAATCACAACTATCCAAAAATTACACTAAATGTGATAATATACCAATTACATCCAATATTATTATATGCCAATAAAAGCATTATATTTTAGACAATTTCAAACCAGTAAATAAAAACAATTGGTTTTAACTTCAGGAAATTCAATTATTCAACCGATGTCATAGACAGATACTGATGAACAACCAATGAATTTACCTTTACAATAAACAAAAGTACAAATTTCAATTGTCATACACGCTTTAACTGATCTCTCAAAGTCCTTATTTGTCTCCATCAAATAGAAGCAGTCAACAGATTAATAATATCTATAGATTTTCAAAAAAATTGCAATATAGGCCACATTTTGTGTAAGCAAAAGGCGAATCAACACTTTTGGCTAATGTTCACAGCTGCAATTCCAAAATTAGCAATTGCGAATAAACCAATTAAAATGAAATTATAATATACTTTCATGCTCATGTACAGTTTTTGTTGGTGAAAACAAATCATTCCGATTCAAAATTCGTCAGGAGAAAGATAATCAAACCAGCTGAGGAGCACGAAAAATATTTCGACCCGTGAGTTTTGAAATTGCGTATCAATGACTTACAAATCTCACAATAAAAAAGATTTAATACTATGAAATTGTAAATACCAAATTAATGTTAAAAAAAGGACGGAGAAAAAAATGTAAAATATTAAATAAGACAGTATTTAACTTGTTAGAAACCATAGTAAATATAAAAATTGTTCAAATAAGATATTTTGTAAATGGATCAAAATGTTTAATAACGAAACAACCTCTCCTTCCCTCCAAAACGGTAGTGAGACAGATAAAGTTCCGGAAAGACTACGAAAACTCAAATTGCTAAAATTTACAAAATAGTTAAAAATCATTCATAACAACCTTGCTAATTAAATTGCAGAACGCATTTATTTATTTTAAGTTCTCCCCAAATTCATTGTTCTTCCCAAAACAAAATGTTTGCCTCCATTCTTCATATTCTTTCCATTTCTTTCAAAATTATTCACAATATCAATTATAAGAAAGTTTCCTTTTGCACACATTCATCGACAACTTTGTGCGAATTCTTTACTTTCCTGACCCCTTTTCTTTTGTACAACTTTGTGCTATATCAGCACACAAGCATTGGCCCTGTATCATTTTGTCAACAGCAAGTGCACAGAAAACTCGTGCAATAATTTCATGTTTTGAAAGCAAGTCACCATACTCAGACGCTCATGTCCTTGCAAGGTCCGATTCTTTACTTCCATAAATGACATAACCTCGAAAGTACAGTTCGGGGAATGAAAAATAGTTGAAAATACGTTTCCAATGGTCTAAAGCTACTCAAACATTGTCTTTGGTTGTAAATATGATAACATTATATTAATTATTTATAAGGCAAATAATTATTCCCAGTACATTATTAGGAATTGATTAGAGATACCAGTGCTTCAAATCTACATTAAAATATTTCTTTCATATTATATCTATTTTACACTTTTCTTCTTCGAACAGGAATAATGACACTTTACGGATCTGTTACAATGATAAATCAATAAATCGTATTAGAAATTACTCCAGTCAAAATGTACATTATCTACAATGCTTGGTTTAATTTTTAGGGCTATATTATAGCGCCCCCATCGGCTAGCCGTGTATACGTCATGTAAGATATTGACACCACATGATCCGTTCGTTACGACAGGTCATTGATTAGAAAAGATATTTACAAAAATAAAGATTTGCTTCTGGTGCGATACCACCCAACAATTTCTTATAATCGTGATTAAGAATTATTCTATATACATTAATTTTAAAATGTGATACTGTAATGCGCTACAGAACAATATCACCGTGCTCATCGAGATGAATTGCCCTGCCCAAGAACACGCGCCTTTGCTTCAGTCTAACACACACGTTGCGAAACCACACCAAAGAATTGATATAATGTTCCCAACCAAAGAGTCCCGACACTACTCTATAAAAACTATGAAATACATGTACAATGATGTAATAAATGATATCAATATCAATATACTTTCTGAAAGTAATTTAAAAATAAACTGCATCACATCAATTTCAAGCAGTAATACAAAATCTCTCTTTATGATTCTGGCAATTTAAACAATGAAGTAAATAAAGTTTACAACCGCACATTTTCATAAAAATATCAATATTGACGATTATACATCACTTTCGAAATTTACTTTTTTATAGCGTCGGTGCACTTTTTGGAACTTTTGTCAAACATGTCAATCAATAATTCCACTTTCAAAAAACGGTACCCATTTTCCACAGAAAAGGCGGATACTATATTTTTTTAAGAATGGATGTTTTGCATCCACTCTTCTTGCATGTGTGTTTACCAAAATACGTTCACCTTAATGTCTTGGGTTCAGGTGATATAAGTATGCTCGATGTGCTGTGCTGTTTGCTCGTCCAGCTGGCCTGTAGTCGCATGCAGCACTTTGCCAAATACATCACTACTGTAATGGCAGCCTCGAGGCATCCTACACTACCAGTTCATAATCGGTTCAGTATCGCATTGGCAGATAAAAAGTCCACCTAACATGTATAGTCTCGTATGGATATATCGGTTCAGTGTGGAAATGAAGAGTCCACTTTCTTCCCCATGCATTAAAGAAGTGGAATGGTGGGTTATAATTTGAGAACGTGGTAAGGGAGCACAAGACATCGAGATTTACGCGGAGTTTGTTAATCCAGCAGCGATTGTATGTTTTGTCATTTGTTTTCATTATTATATCATGTTTTCATATAATCCAGGGCCCCAAGGGAGAACAGTTCATTGACAACTGATGGGCCTACCCTGGTAAAATCACACGAAATAAATTATTAAATAAATAAATGACACAATAATTGCAGGAGGTTATAGCGGCTTGCTGCTCGGCAAGCACGTACAGGCCTACCGGCGAAGCCCAGCAGGTTCAAATATCTACAATGAATAGGAGACCACAGAGGCATGCATGTTTGGGCAACCCTGAACATTCCCAGGATGATACATCTGGCTACGTTAAGATCATCGCCCAATGTAGCCGGCCACTGTATCCGAGTCAACTGCGGCGTTCACAGTTCGGTCGTTGTCTGACAACCTATTGAGCGTGCAGGTCATGCGAATGCACTTGGTGCTCTTCTTGGACTTCTTGCGCTGCTTGGAGCACAATTCAGATATGGTGTACAAGTAGGGATTCAGCGAGGAGTTGATTGGGAGTATGAAGACCACAGTCCACGCGTAGAGTTCCTCAGGTACGCTGATCATCCCACTCTGTGTCAGGATTCCCATGATGATGACTGGCATCCAGCAAAAGAAATCCGTACCCACAACGAGAGCCATGCGGCTGGCTAGCTTGACCTCCCTAGAGAAGGTCACGCTACGTTGTGATGAGGCGCCTCCATAGACGCCGTTACTGGGCTTACCAGCCATCTTACCCCGCCGAGCCACATCCCGTGATGACCGCCGAACGATAATAAAGATCAAGACGTAGCACACCAGAACTACGATAAAACAGACGAAATTAAGGCCGAGGTACAGGAACACAGAGAAAGCCCAGGCTGGCTGAGTGCCAGTCGCGGAAGCGTTGTAAGCGTAGGTGCCTGTCTCACGAATGTAGGTCCAGGTAGTGGTCTGGTTGACTGGGGTGGTGATAAGTGGTAGACCGACGCAAACATCCGATAGACCGTAGAAGGAAGGCATTTTACCGGCCATGATAGAGCCGGTCAGACTCAAGGCGAAGGCAATCAGCCAGAACACAGCAATGGTGAAGCGGACAAACCGCGCCTCCAGTCGGAAACGACTAAAGGGAAAGGCGATGCTGATGAACCTATCTATGCTGATCAGCATGACAAGGAACACAGAAGCCTCTGAAGACAACATAGACAGAAAGCCGATCACTTTACACCATGTGCCCGTACGCCACGCCTCAGCCGACAAAAAATAGCTGGCGCCGAAGTGTAGGTCTGCAGCGCCTAAAGCAATCATATAGGCGCCCATTAAGGCGTCTGAGATAGCCAGGTGCGTGATAAGGATAGACTGAACCGTCAGTTCGCGCCAACCCTTCTTGACTGCTCGTTGCGCGATCACGTAGAGGTTACCCAAGATAGCGCTTATACCTAGCAGCCAAATGGCCACGCGGAGGATGGTATTGGGCATAAGGCGTTGACAAGTTGAGAAGGATTCTGTAGGACCAATGCAGGAGACATTTCGCGCAGGATCAAGGAGACAACAAAGGCGGTAATCACGGGTGGACCTGCAAAAAAATATCGTTACAATTATGCAACTTATATCTATCAAAAACAGCCACATCATTGAACCACATTGCATATGGTCATAAGCATTGTTGTTTATATTAAGTTTATATAAGTACACTGGTATCTATTTCTTAGTGTATTTAAAGGGAATGTACAATATTTGGTTTTGCTGCAATTTTCAGAAATAAATGGATTTGGAGGATTAGTATATTATAGCAAATATTGTTACACTGACTTGCTTCACGTTTGGGTTCGGAGATGCTGGAAAATCTAAGAAAACCAACCCTGTTTTTGTAGTCTGGTTCCCTGACCCCACGTAAGATGAAACGGAGCAACTTATAGACTAAGTTGGGGGATTGTAAGGTCAGAGAATCAGTCTAGAAGGCTTGTACCCCTTCACGGGTGTGTTATCAATTGCAAAGAAACTGCGGAATAACTAAATATGAACAATTAGGGGCACTTTTAAAAAAAAAGGTTTTCTGCAACGCTGGTCGGCCGACCTGCGTTGGCAAAATACAAGTTTTCCTGAAAATGTCAGCACACCAGGAGCCACGATTTTACATGATGCTTTATACTGAACCTTAAATGAAATCTAGTGGCTTTCTGAAATTCAAATTGAGAATTGAGCTAGGCGATATTTGGGCACGAAATTAAAGTATCGATATAGGCCTAAGGAATTTGTGTGATACAAGTGTTAAAATAACCGGGAAAACCTATATTAAACAAAACGCGAACTTACAATGAGGCCAAGTTGTCAAGACCATCGAGTATCCCCATGGTTGGTGCTTCCAAATCGGCATGTAGAATGTTTCTGTAGACATTAAATACGTAAAATATACAGTGAATCCAGACGGTGCGTAGATTGGACGTGTCAAGCCCACAGGAAAGTGGAAAAATATCTTCCATGGTTGAACTTGGAGTTGGGACATTTTAATATTGGATGTTGCCAATCCGCTGATGAAATTTTGTGGACACTGTAAACTTATGTCCGATGGCATTTGGGGAAACATTCACAGGCTTTCGCTGGTAAGACCCGAACCCCATCCCCATCTTACTACGACAGTTAACGATTGGAGAAAATCTATAAGCAATCACTTTACTAACATCATCCTGCTTAAGATTAAGTTTATAGTTGCACCCATGTAAAACATTTCTTGTGTGAGTTTGTGAGGTTCTGAAAAGATGCGGGTTAAAGAACCGGGGAAACTCAACGTTTTGGACAGTATGCTCTGCCCGTCGTCAGGAGATAACGGTTCTTTCCAGAACCTCACAAACTCACAAGAGAGATCTGTTACATTGTGCAACCATAAACTTGATCTTATTGCTATCCTCACCATGCAAACCTTCCAATCTTATCATCCTGCTTAGAATTCCTTTCCAAACACAAGAAAGAATCTACTTACAGAGAAACCACATTGGAGAGTCCCTTGAATGTCCCAGGCTCAATGTATCTCAATGGCACGTGACTCATCCACCTGTAACAACAAAATACGACTGATATTCTGCAGTTTACTTTTACGCATAACATGAACAATATTAGAAAAACCACTTTTCTCTTTTCGAGCACCACGGTGCAATGATTGCGCAATGCATGTCCTCACTCAATCAACCTCGTCGTCATTTCATCAGAACCTGTGGGCACAATGAGCCCCATGAAACTTCTTACCATAGTTATGGAACACTTAGGTTGATTGGCAAGAAATTTGGTGACCTTTCCTATCATTGTGGTACTAACGCAGAGCTATAGGACGGATTGCCTAAAGTCTCACACAAAATCGCTGAACGGAGATTACGCCTAGTCGGCCACTGTGTCACGCATCCTGAAGAAATAGCCTCGAAGTTGATACTATATGGCCACCAACTCATGGTCATCTGAACCTAGGGAGGCAGGCCACCACATTCACTGATCTTCTTCAAAGAGACACTGGGCTGAAATCACCATCGGAGATACGTACAGTGATGCTGGAAAGAGACATCCAAAGAGACTTCGTTTCCTTGGTTCGATCGGAAGATCGACCAAGGTGTAAAACACAGGATGTAAACACAGGATGTAAAACACAGGTTATCATATCTTCTGGTTATTTTCATGTATAATATGAAACTCTGTAAATCTTAAGACAATTTTTTCCCTGGTTTGACTAATTACTTACAGTACTTGAAGCTTTGACAACCCAGCAAAAGTATCGGCCTGCAGATCCGTAAAGGTGTTGTTGCCAAGATCCCTGGAAATGAAGGATGTTTGAGTCGTGTCAACATGAATGACGCACTTGGGCTTTAGGTTGAAATACCACCATTATTATCAACAATATAAATCTAATGTTATTTTAAGGGCAGAATAATTGGTAAATATTCTAATTCTTTTCAAATGACCGAAAAAGTCCCAGGAAAATTCAGCAACAACAACACTTCTTTGTGAAATGCCACTCAAAAACAGTTGGGAAAATGGGTTGGTATTTTGAACAATATTGGTCACCATAGCAACTGCCGACATTCTTGGGCGAATTCTCCCAAAGGTTGGTCAATTTGTATCCCAAATAACCGATGAATAGGATTGTGTCATACTCGTGTTAGGCAAATAAGAACAGTGATATTCGCAACGACCTAAACAGGCTAGGGGCAGATGTAAGGGTAAGAACCCTGTCCCATGCTATTCATCCAAGCTTGTTTTTGTCACTTTCCTCTCTTTCTTCAGTCTTAACAACTTATTATATTTTTTTCTATACGTAATAAAACTAAGGGCGAAAATCTCAGTGATCATTGTGTCAAAAGAAATAACGACAAAACGGGGGGAATTGGTATAGTTGGAACGTCTATAGCAGTGCACGAAGCATGGAAGATTATACAGACAGCGCATTGAAGGCCAACTTTTGAGGATTTGGATTTTTCGGCCGGTTGTCTCAGGACACAAAATGGCGAGAAAATTGAAAAAAGACCGAAAATGAAACACTTCTTTCTCTTGCACAAATGCTTCACAGTTGCAAACAAATACAAAACTGTTCCTTTAACTTAATTGATAACCACTCAGTTAAGTCCTGAATACGGCTATTCGCATGACCACATCCTCAAATCACAACATGTAAAACATAAACTCCAGCTGTCGCCTGAAACTTGGGGGGAAAATCAAATCTATATACTTGTATGCTTTTAGTAACATTTCACTGTTATCATATCACTTCACTAAACTATTTTGAAAAACTCCTCTATCCGTCAGTGACGTTCTTCCACAAGGGATCCCTTGCTGGACAAGGGAGTAGGTTATTGTATGCTCTTTATTTTATTTAGTCTTTTAAGTTACCTTTCAAAATTCCACCAAAAATGTACTTTATCAATTATTATCAACTCACATATATATCAAATTGTCCAGTCCTTGGAAAGCCCCTGGCTCCACCTTTGAGATGTTATCACTGACAAGAATCCTGTGAGCCAGAAAAAATATCATTCCCCAACAGGTGAAACAGTTAATGCCAAACATTGCACACAGGTGAAACAGTTAATGCCAAACATTGCATACAGGTGAAACAGTTAATGCCAAACATTGCATTTGGGAGGCGGGCCAACTTCTAACAATCCGCCATATAATCATGCATGACAAACATCGATCCCTGGGCTAGTTAAAGAATCACTGCATATTAATCAGTATTGTTTAGTCGATAGGGCAACCCGGGGTATGTTTGTTCAGTATGATTGACTACACAGGTTCAGTGGGAGGATGGGATATTTGTGATATCTGTCGGAGGAAACCTGTCTGCGTTTTGTTATTGTTGTGCCGATGTAGTTATCCTGGCCGTTATTGTAGTGTATAGTGTACATGTTATGCCTACAGTCATTTGGTTTCCAATCACAAAAAGGCGTCACTAAGATAGTCCCAGTGACCAGTGTGGAATAGACCAATATTAAATATGCATTGGAATCTAGGAACTCAGTGATCTCTTTTGAACAGAAAAAAAAACGTCCGCAACGAAAACGTTAGCTTTTTAGTGTGCGGCGGGCTTTACACTAAAGAGGTCCGGCTTGTCTGCAAATTGAAAATTCATCCATTGTTCCAAAATAGGCCTGTGTCCTTTTTCGGGGGGGGGGGGAGTAGTGTCAGCAGTGGCGGCTCAAGACTCTAAAATTTGGGACAGCAAGTGAGGGGCAAAGGAAAAATGGGGGGGGGTGCAACATCGAAAAGCTGGGGATGGCCGGACATGATATGACGCTTAGAGGCGCTGTTTAAATGTACATGTACCCTCGTTTGATGGCAATTTCCGATGGTTTCCAGTCTGAAATATACCTTCAATGACTCGAGTCTCTACTCTTCTATTTTTCTTTTCTTTTACATTATTTTTCCTTTGTTTTAATTTTCGTGGGGGGGGGGGGGGACTCGGGACAAGGCCGACGATCGGGGGGGGGGGGGGCAGCAAATGCCCCCATGCCCCCCGTAGCGCCACCTCTGAGTGTCACTTCAATAACCTTTTGGCTTTTACTACTTTTTCCAAAAATTCCGATCTATAGGTTTTCCCGGCTATTTTAACACTTGTATCACACGAAATCCCTATATCGATACTTTAATTTCGTCCCCAATAATCGCCAAGCTCACTTCTCAATTTGAATTTCAGAAAGCCGCCACTAGATTTCATTTAAGGCAAGTTCAGTATAATTCAAATTGTTAGCATTCTGATTCGTCCAAAATCTTTGAAATTCGTCTCGTGAAGCAATCGGCGTTGAATTGACAAAGTAAATTCGTTTTTTTTTCATTCGTTTTCATGTTGTTGCCATTACATTTCGTCTCTGGTGACCTAAATCGTATACGATTAGAAAATGCGCCCAATCTTTAGACTTATTTGAAGAATTATGTATTTACTGTATGTATAAATAAAAGTAGTTAGCTGTAAGGTAGGAATTTGTATTTCTGGGTTTCACAATTAACATTAGAGTCAGGAATTGACATTTCACAATATGCACTAATGACATGGACACTAAGCATTAAGTTCAAAGACCTTCTTAATGTTGTTCTTTGATAGACATACCTTATATCTGTTGTTTTATTCATATACATATATCAAGGAGCAACATTACGAAGGTGTTTGATCTTAATGCTTAAATTCCATATGCTAAGCAAAGACCATATTGTGAAAGTTCAATTTCTGATTTTAATGTTAATTGTCAAAGAAAATTCAAAACTTACAGCTATAATTTCCTTTAATAAGGAAATATTTGTTAAAAATTACAATTTAATTAATGCGCAAACAAGTCCAAAGACAGGGCACATTTGTAATGGTAACGTTTTTAAGTCACCAGAGACGAAATGTAACGACAAAAACATTAAAACGAATGACAAAAAAAACCGAATTTGCTTTTTCAATTCAACGCCGATTGCTTCACGAGACGAATTTCAAAGATTTTGGACGAATCGGAATGCTAACAGTTTGAACTATACTGAACCTTAAATGAAATCTAGTGGTGGCCTTTTGAAATTCAAATTGAGAGTTGAGCTTGGCGATGTTCGAGGACGAAATTAAAGTATCGATATAGGGAATTCGTGTGATACAAGAGTTAAAATAGCCGGGAAAACCTATATTAGTTATAAGACGCGTGGAATACTGAACAAACTAAACGCAACGGCATATAAGTACGCAATATATCCCGAGTTTAATTCCTCTATTTTTCAGATCGTAGCTTAAGCAGCAACATGGCAGCTACTCCCTGTCAAGAAATTTAGATAAGAGACCACAATAATTCTTAATTAGTCTCAAAAGTTCTCTTGTCAAATGTATTTTTTTCCAACGGGCTTACAAATTTGATTTCATGTTTATTGTTCAGTTTTTGTATTTGTTGTTTTTCTTTTTATTTCAACAACTTGCTTCACACTTTTACAAATACTCCATTCTGAGTGTGTTCTTTTAACTCTGATAAGAATAACCTGGTATTAAAAAAAGGCCACGACAGATAAAACAAAAACATCTCTTTTTTTCATCAATCAATTATCTTACAGATCTGTGACGTTGTGAAGTCCATGGAAGGTTCCTTTCTGTAACGTTGACAGAGAATTACCTGTTATGGATCTGCAAAACAGAATGAAACCATGAAGTCAGGGCATAAATAATAGAGCCTGAAAGTTCACCCCTGGTGGCGCCCTTCCAGCCCCTTGTAATGGAAAGTTAAAGTGCAAAAAAAATCTAAACTTTGTAATTATTTTTGGTCCATTGATTTCTTAAGAAAATCACACTTGAAAAAAGGCCTTTGTAAAATTGTTACTAGCTTTATGGAAACTGAAAAATCTCATGACGTGAAAGAGAAATATCATGCCAAAAATTGACCTCTCACTTCCGAAAATCTAAAATGCATGTGGACTAGTGAAACTCGGTCGTTGTACTCGTACAAAGATGAAAATTTATGAAATAATTTTGTTGCGGTCATAGGGTGAAAACTGAAACTTAAATAGGAGACTATAAAATGTCATTTAGGGTACACATTTTTGGGGGATAAACTTGAAGGACTCATAAGCATTTACAAAAAACATCTAAAATGACCACTGATTACTGCATTCAGGCCAGCCCAACTAAATATAGAACCCATCAGCTGTACGTAGGTAAATCTTCGCGTCGTTGTACATTTTCGTTCTTTCACAAGAACGCGATTTGAAAACAAACGTAAACGAACAAGGAGACCTAGGAACGAAAATGCCGGATGTGAAAAGTCGGAAGAAATATTCTTTTTTACCCATCTCCAAGTGATTTTCACATCATTTTGTTTTCTTGAGTAATAGCAAAGTAAATGTTTAAATTCGTCCTTTATTAAGCAATTCCAAATTTAGTTCAAGCAAATTCAAACCATGAGCACACCTATTGGTCAAGCAGTTTTCGATTCATCTCGTCTACGCCAAGTTATTCGGAAAACAAATTCGTCTCATGCCACACAATTTCAGTCAAAACTTTGTTGAATTTCTTCATTGAGACATATTCAGTATGAGGTATACAGGCTGCTGACCCGACTAATTTTTCCACTTTCTCTTTCCTTGTTTCATAAATGTATTCTTTGTTTCTTTTGATTTTATCAGAAAGATAAAAAAAAAATACGTTAGACTCAATTTTAGGCACACACAAAAGTAACACGATGAATAAAGGTCATCGTAGTTCTGAACATTTCCTTTGTTTATGTTAACAATTACTCTATTCGGTTGTTAAGTTTGATTTACTTTATGTTACGGTGTACTCTTTCTTCAGTGGCGGTTCTTTGAGTTCAGTATGGTCTACACCTACATGGTTTGATAACATCAGTTGAATGTTGCTAGTTGTGCTTTAATTTAAGACACAAGGAAAATGCTTTAGCACGCACAAGACTAATTTACTTAACACAAAGATAGGTTTTCCCGCACATTTTTTTTTGAATGCAAAACTTTTTGCATTCAAATTCATAAACGGTTTACTTCAATTTCGTCTTGAAAATTACTGATCTTGCATACCCCATGTTCAATTTCGTCTTTGGTCGCTCATTTTCGCAATTTGTTCAAACAGTTTCATACCTTTAACCATACTTTTTCGTGAAAGACAACTCAATTTCGTCGTCCGCAATTGCCGAACGTACGATAGATGAAGCAATTTCGTCATTTTGCAATCAATGTTATATAAATTTCATTCAATTCGTCCCATGATTCTATGCTATCTTTACGTTTTCATCTGTTCAATTCCACTTTGAACATATTTACTTTATTTTGCTTGTGTCTGTTTAGTATTTTCCCTGTTTAACGTAGGTTTTCATGTAATAATTATTATGCAAAATTTAGTGTAATCTTTTTCAATACTTATTTGTGTATCCATTTAGTTCTTTGACAATTTTATGCGTCAACAACTGAAATAATTAAGGTATATACAGGCAACTAAAAAAAGTATGCAAGAAATAAGTAGGCATATAATTATGTACTTATGAAAAACAAAATGCATTCATATTTTCACATCTTTCAGAAACAGTCAATTCAGTTCTTCTTCTTCTTGTCCTTTGGATTGGTTGTTAAACCTTCAATTTCTTGTCTTGCAATACACCGTGCCAAATCTGTGCATGGTTGTACCAGCGAGCGCATTTGTCTGATGAACTTGATCAAACATTTCTTGAAATCGATTGAACCACAAATTCGATCCTAACATTATGTGGATGGTCATCAGGTGAGACGAATTCCATTGAAATCTGACGACATCGAATGGAGAAATATTGAAATTGATTGACCATTGATTGTGGAAGGACCAATGACTAAATTCATTGTAGCATTTGCGCGTTCCGGTCTTCTCGAGACGAAATTGAAGTTAACCGTTTATGAATTTGAATGAAAACAAGTTTCAAAATGTGCAGGAAGACCTATATTAAAGCGATTGATATAAGACGAGTTTGATCTCTGAATGCTCTCATTCGGCAACACCCGAGACGAATTCAATCTGTACTAACAAATATTCTTGACCAAATACTTAAATAGGTTGACTAAACTTTAAAATGATAAATGACTAAAATGATAAATGACTAAATTGATTGAGCTAAAAGCATGTGAAATTCTTCCGGGACAAATTTCACCGTATTATTAAGACGTCGCCCGACAATGTTATTCAATAACATTCGAGTTTGAATGTTATGAGCTTTGAAATGGGTAACGGCCTGGATGGATAGGCTAAAAGTGAACGTCTCCAAAAAATCGTTGAAGAAAAAAAAATGCTATATTTTGATCATTCGGCAAAGAAGGGGTTACCAACCCCAATTTTGGTTTTTGTAGGAAGCGTAAATTTGTTATTCAAAAGGAAATTCCCCCACGGTGCAATCTATTTAGCGCCCTCACGCGTCCTAAAAAGGCATTTTCCAAAATCCTTGCTACTTATTTCTGCTTCGATCCGTCCCTGGATCAACGAAAAAGGATAAAGGAAAATAGAAGATGATAAAGATTAAAATATACAGCAACGGAAGATACAAGTGCGGATTTTTGTTTGCGTGGTTTCAAGCCTTCTTCACACTTTAATATCGTCGTAATTTACTTCGGGGAGTTCCTTAAAAGCAACACTTTCCGTAGTCGGAACCTGATATCTTTTAAAATCCGATTAATTCTGTGAACCCCTTGGAGAAATCAATGTAGCGACAAACATTACACAAATTACATGACGGATTAAATTTTTTTATGGCTATTGAAATCCAGAGACACGACTCACTTAGTGTACTTTCAAAGCATAATATCTTAAAGGCCCAAGGCCGCCAAAAGCAGTTCGTGAGCACTGAAATAGTGCCAAAGGTCTGGCATCAAGGCCAACAAGTCGCCATGCGTAATTGTCAATTCAGTTCGTTTACACAAATAAATTTAATTTTAAAATTGAGACCCCATAAAAATGAAATTAAATATTCTATGAATTTGTACTCTTAAGCTACGAAAGCCTGTTAGTGCCCCAGTCAGAGCAGTTTTTTCCCCAGAGCAGTTGTGTTTTGTTTTGTTTTTGTAGAGAGAGCAGACGTTTTTTCGAGAGCAGTTGTTTTTCTTTTCTAGTCGCGTTTCACCCGCGCGGACGCCTAAACTGTGTATGCAGTCAAAGATCGGAGTCCGCTCAAAAAAGTGAAACAGGAAGAACTTCGCTAGTCCCCCCAGTCCCCCCCCCCCCCCCCGCCCTGCAAACAGGACGCTGGGATATGCTGATGAGTTTACGCTCTGATTGGATAGATTTGGGTGACCTGTAACCTACAAGTCATCATGGCCACGACCTTGCAAGGTTTCAAACGGCCGTTAAGACTGAGTCATCACTCTTTTATTCCCATTCATAAATGGTTTTTTTTTTCGTTGAAAAGCGTAATGTGGGAAGATCTGTCAAACTCATCTGTTTTGTAAATGTTGAATTCCCGTCACTTGCTCAGGCTTCGTTTAGAATTCACGAAGGGTCAAATTGCATATTATTCGACGCTTAAAATTTGTCCACATGGTCCGCAATGAAAAAAAAATCACATCCGGTATAGAATGTGTACATTTATATGAGAAGGTTTTCGGCTAGCATTTGCGCGCATTGGCTAACTGCGGTCTTAAACAGCTGCAGCCAGATATATCTTTATACACAGGTCATGATAAATTACCCAGAATGCCACCCCTACTTCCTTCACAAGATTCTGTGAAGCTCATCAGCGTGTCCCAGCGCCCTGTTTACAGGGCGGGGGGGGGGGGGGGGAGGGGACGAGCGAGCAGGAAGCTCTTGCTCGGGTCACTAGCGGGAAGGGCGCCTCGCACGGCAGGTAAGTAAAAACTAGATTTTCCCCATGCACTCAGCGTGAAAACTTAGTTATGCAAAGCCACCTAACTAATTGGGTTTTTTTGGAGGGGGGATCATGAAACTGTGTAACGTTTAAAATCAGTTTATTCTCTGATTAATAGCACCACACCTCTGCTTCAAGCGGAAATGCCTAAAAGTGCCTATTTTCTAATTTCTGTTCAGTTTTATCCTAATGAGCTTATTTTACAGGAACATGGTATCGAAAAGATTCAGAGTTAAGGGTGGTAAAGTGAACAATCGCTCTCAAAAGAAAAACAAATTGCTCTGAAAAAAAATAATAATTGCACTGGAAAAAAAATAACAATTGCTCTGGAAAAAAATCACCGCAACGGGAAGAAATTGCTCAAAACAAATAACTGCTTTGCGAAAGTTACTAAACAATAGACTGTGCGTTCTATGGCTGTTGGGAAACCACGGACTATGTAACGGGGACATTCCACTATCAGGCCTGTAATCGTTGTTGTACATAATGTACATAAAATAAGGCAAGGCCCGCGACCAAAACTTTGTTTCGTAAAGTTCCGGGGAAAAAAACTGCTTTGAAAAAAATAACTGCTCTGGAAAAAAACTGCTCTCAAAAATAAAGTGGTGGCATTAACGGATTTTCGTACTAAGCCATGGTGCAGACTAACTCTACGTAGGTGTAATCTCAATACTCACAAGTGCTGAAGAGATGAAAGGTCTTGGAACGTGTCAGGGTAAACGAACTCTAGTGCATTGTACGACAGTTCGCTGTCATAGAATCAAAGAAAAAAAACGTCCATGAATAAACCAGCGGATAATGCTTAATGCAAGTGTATGTATAATGCTGTATGGGCCATTACATTCAGAGTGTCAGGCGGCAAAATCAAAGATTGTTGGTACAACGCTCCAGCAGCTCTGTGCTATTGGCCGTAATGAACTTCTAGTAACTGATGAAAATTGATAAGCATAAACGTAATGGTCCAAAGTACTTTCGAAAAATTAACTCTTAAGAGTTGGAAATATAATCTAGTGAGGCAATCTGAAATTTTGCAGATAAAAGAATCACACTTTGTTTTACATAGGGGAAGCTTTGTAGCCGAGTCTAAGACAAGTACAAATGCAAGTCCATCACAAGTCCATCAGAAGTCCATCAGAAGTCCTCCAGTTTCGATTCAAATCACACGATAGTCTTGGTCATGCACTGCAAAGACCTGAAGTGCCTCTCGATGTCTTCCTGAACCCCAACAACCAACCATGAGAACCCTTCCGACAGGGAGGAGGCCTGCGTCGCACCTACCTCTCACAGATCATGCATAGACGACCTTAACGCCATCGGCCTTAATTAAGCATGATCAGGCTGTTCGTGCTGCCCCAGGATCGGGCTGGATGGCTGAGACGAATCTCAAGCATTGGAAAACCAAACAACGTCTCGAGTCGAGTACGACTCCTGTAGCGTCAACTAGTAGTAGTCAAAAGATTTGTAACTATAGTTTAAGGCATTACTTTGTTATTGTGTCCCCCTGTTACTCGTGACTGGACTGGTGAAAGGACTTGTGATGGACTCAACTTCGACACTTGTTTAATGGTAATAAGGTATGTTTCGAGGTTTCATTTGATCTTGTTAATTCTTGTTTTAAGAAACTCTAGTGCATTGTAAGACAGACAAACGTCCATGAATAAACCAGCGGATAATGCTTAATGCAAGTGCATGTATAATGCTGTACGGGCCACTACATTCAGAGTGTCAGGCGGCAAAATCAAAGATTGTTGGTACAACGCTCCAGCAGCTCTGTGCTATTAGTAACTGATGAAAATTGATAAGCATAAACGTAATGGTCCAAAGTACTTTCGAAAAATTAACTCTTTTACTCTTTTAAGAAAGAACCATAAGGCAGAAGATCAATGAAATTGAAAGCAGCACAGACAATTATCAAATGATTGGGTCTTTTTTGGACTGGTGTAAATTGTTTATATCCTCAGACAGGACACCACAATGCAAACAGTTTTCGAGCGTCCAACGCCATTTGTAAGAAAAAAGTAATATCTGTATTACCAGTACTACTTGTTTCTAACTGACGCATAAGTTTGAATTTTCTTTCTACCCTACTGTTACAAGGTTGTATATACTTGCTTATGACCGCCACACTTTTTCAGTGATAATGGTATAAAGATAAATGAGGCTAGGGTCCAAACCATCAAAAAAGTACTAAAGTTTGCCTGAATGAAGCTAGTTCCAAATCAAAATACAGCAAGGGTGTATATTAGGACATGAATGTGCAATCGTATTTTAAACATTTATAGATATATACAGATAGGCTCTTCGATTAAACTTTAAAATGAAAATCGCCAATCGAATAATGCCAAGTTACGCAATCGCTCCAAATCTAGCCAACTATTTTTAAAGGAGGCCATAGACCGTTTGAAATTATTAACATTGTCACTCACAATGATCGTAGCGCTGTCAATCCCTCTAATGCGCCGTGCTCCATGTATCGAATCGGTACATTATTGATGTCCCTGCAAAAGAAATACCAGGGGAAACATAATTCTGACCAATTACATGAAACAGAAAGCGCAATACAAAACTTATTCGCTCGTACCCACCGCCTGTATTTCTCTGCGCTCCATTGGATGGATTGTGTTAACACTTTGACCCAGGTCAATACTTGTACTTCTGCAAGGTCCAGACCGGTAAATAGACTGCCATAGACCTTAGATGTAATTACGCGAACTTTCCGAAATTACTAAAAAAAAAAAAATACTCTCAACTCTCTGAGGTGTTCTAGACACGTATCAAATTAAAGCTTATTTCATCATCTTTCATTTTCTGTTCAATATTTGGGGGTAATCCAATTACTTTTGGGGGAAATTTCCACCCGAAGAAGATCACCTCTAAAAATAGTCCTGAAGGCCATTGCCATTTTGGAAAGCGCTTTTGGGCCCAATTTCATCCAAATTTCACAGAAATACAAGCTCACAGTCATGTGCACGCATCCACCCTTCTTTTTGTACAAATCCTCATGATCATGGCCCACAAAATGCTTTAAAACCGAAGAATTTGAGGGCATACAAATCGTGATTTGGACGGCGTAGGCAATTTTTGACGTAGGCAATTTTGCATACCGTTGCGAGTGGAAAACACGTGCGTTGATATGATTAAGTTATGTGAACTACCAATAGTGCCTTGCGTTTCCGTTGTTGATTTGGTTCAGTGAACTACCAATTACCATGTCCCCGATTCTGCCATAAAATTGTGTGCAGGGGATAATCGGTCAGTCAGCAGCATACGGTTGTGCGTTCAAGTAAAACGTCTTTTTTGGCGTCAAGGTTGTTTCTATTGGGGGAAATGTATTTGAAATTGAGTAGCCATTTTTTTTAATTCTTTTAATTTATTTTAACAAAGCACAATACTCACAACGACGATACCCGGGACAGTCCCAGAAATGTGCCTTTCTTCAGCGTCTTCATGCTGTTGTAAGACAGACTCCTTGAAATCCAATGGATGGAGGAGGGAAAAAAAGCTTATTCAAATTAATGCATAATTTTGCATCCAAAATGTGTTGGGGCTGATATCGGGTCATGGAAGTTGAATTGTGTTAAGGTTAAATTGGTATAATTACATGTAAAGGTTATGGCAACGCACGTTTGAAAAACATTATAGACCATGTGGCATTTGTTACAAGGTTGGTGTTGTGGTCACCGTCGTAATGCCAACTTTCAGCAAATGGTTCTCTTCTGCACTACATGTAGATCTCTAAAATACGAATGGTTTAAAACAGTCTACTGTATACAGCGGCGAAGCTACGGGGGGCGTTGGGCGCACCCCCCCCCCCCCCCGCCCCCTAATAAAAATCGTTGGCCAAGTCACCCTCTCCACCCACTGGAAAGTTGGCAATCGGAGAAAATCACGCAACCATGAATAGCGGGTTTAAAATAAAGTCAATTGTTCATATTTGTGTAAAGTTATGTTGGCGAATACCCAGTTTTTCGCGATTAGCTGTTTATTTTAACGTCCCATGGATCGCGTATAGCAATACTTGTCCTCTGTCAATGACCATGAATTCGGTTTTGAACAGCACCCCCTCTGCAAGATGGTGTCCAGCCCCCTGCCCCGACCCCGTACTTAAAATAGTAATAGCACAAAAAGGACTTCAGCTAACCGTACTAAAAACTATATTAAAGTTGAAAATCACAGAAGTTATTCGGCAAATTCTGGGCAAGTACACAATAAGTTGCTAAGCTGTTGTTGACGTCAATCTGAAATATTATGCATCTGATCTCCTCGACATTTTCGAATTTGATAACGCTCATCATCACAGAACGAATGTAACTCCGATGTAATTGTCTTAGATAGGCCTACTCTAAATATACAAACTCCATGCTGCTTAAAAGATGCCGCAGTGACTTTAATACGCAAGATCCCAATCGGCTTCAAATTGATGCATTGTCATCTTTTGAGTTGCACAATCGATATTTTTTTGCTTCCATGTGCTGTCTTGCTCTCGACACATTCCTATATTTCTTCCCAGACAAGTGCTGGAGGATATTTGATAACAATGAGATCTGGCCACGTTCATTTGGATTGAAGCTCATCAAGCTGATTAATTACTCACATGTAGGACACATTGGCAATACTTCGGAACACTCCCGGCACCAGGTCCATGATATCGTTATGACTCATATTTCTGAGAGGAAAAAAAAAACGAAAACAAGACGCCCCCAATGGGAGTGAATAGGATTTAAATTTGGAGTGAATAGGATCTAAATTAAAGCAAATTCAACTCGTATGATTTTGTTACTGATTTCCCAGGGGCGTGTATGCGTAGTTGTTTTTCTCTCACCCACACAGACACATAGTTCGTTAGACATTGCCTTATACAAGACTGCTATCCCAAGGGGGGGGGGGGGGAAAGTTGGGTGGGATGAACGCAAAGTGCAAGGAGAAGGATATAATTGGTCTGCGACGATAGAGGGATCCATTTTGCCTAGCCCAAACAAAAATCATGCGATGAGTTATTTAACTCAATAATAAGTGTCTACAAGTTTGAATTAAGAAACTACAAGTGGTTGGACATTTTACGAGTAGTCACGGTGTTTTAGACTTATTGTTTTAAGTTAACCAGACTTTAGCGGCTTCAAGGGGTTCGGAAAGTCAGGGGATAACGGGGAAGTAGAAGGTTTCTTGGTTTTGTTTTGACATCATCATCCCCTACCTTAACTGCATGTGTATAACTAGTGACTTCTCATGTATCTACTATATTTTTAACCTCGTTTCCAATAGTAGCCACTGGAAGTCAAATTTGCTTCCTGTAGCCTGATTCGATACCGCTATGACAATTAGTTGGATTTATATCTAATAAAATAATTTTACATTTATACCGCGCCTTTTCCAAAGTTCACGAAATGTTCCGAGGACTTCTCTGAAAGTCGAAACAGCCGAGGACAGACCACCAGTGTGGGTGAAGTTGCTTATCATTCCTTTGTTCCTTCTTCTACTCCATCCTCTTTGATCTTAACCCACGCTGGCCTGTCCCCGGTTGGTGGTTTTCCTACGTGTAGTTTCGTGTTTTAATAAGGGAATAACAGTGCGAGGAGCCGGTCTTCACTGCGTGATAATGACCGGGTGTGGGGGTGACCGTCGTGGTCGAGGTCCATTAACAGCGGTCACCCCCACACCCGGTCATTATCACGCAGTGAAGACCGGATCCTCACACTGTTATTCCCATTAATAAATACCTTTATAACGAAATAAACAGTTAAAATGCTCCAATTTTGTGACTTTTTTCCAGCGATATTTCCAGACTTTTTTGTGTTCATGTTCATGGGCCATATTTAGCTTAACAGCTATAACGACGTAAACTCAACAGAAACTGCTGCCGTAGCGAAACAAATTACAACAATGTTTTCATATCTTTACCTGATGGAGGAAGCTGAAATCTCGTTTACACATTCCTTGTGTCCGGAATTACAAAGATGCTTGGTTTAGGAAAGGTAAATATGTCGGTGGGTGAAGTGTTTCAAAGAAAATAAATCGTAGATCTACGCTTTCGTCGTAAACATCCTCAGTATATACTGCACTGCTGTACGATGTCGTTTCAAAACTTCCTTACGCGCGCGCACGCACGCATCCCTAGCAACTGTGTTGCGTACGCGCGCGTCAGTCTCACACGATGGGGGTTGAGCGCATGTGCAGTGCTCAATTGTTAAAAGCTACCGCAGGACTGTTACTATATTTTGACCAATCATTGGCTTGCATGGGGCTGAACGGAGCTTGATCAATGCTGGTTCAGGGGCCATTTATTCGCTTGATCTTTGAAGCCGGTCCATTATCACCGTTAATGACCGGCCACGTGATCGAGTCTCGACCAATCAGAAACCATCAACTCTCCAAGGTTTTTATTAATGCCTTTTGAATACACTCCTCAAACAATCCTCCATTTTCCATTTTGTTCATAATGGACTGCACGTAGGATGGGTAATGATTGTAACAGTTTATTAACTTTGGAAAAAAATCGTGCTTTCTTGGACCTCACGCCGCGACGAATGATTGATAAAGTCTGTACCAGACACCGCATACACAAACTAAACACTGATTTAAAACATGCCCAGGCACTAGATTATTCCGTACCTAATTTTGCCCGTGTAAGTTTTTTGAACATGCAAATGATCCAACACCAGGGCGAGAGAGCAAGAGGTTGGAGCGTCTTGCTCGTCACGCAACTGTCAACCTTACGCGTTTGGTGTCAATCATGATATGCGTTTAAATTTGGGGTCAGACAATTCAGGCGCGCGTCAGGTCTACGTTTATTAAAGGAATATTACGGCCTAAAGTACCCGAACATGTTTGGATTGTTTACTAATCCTATTTCAAAGGTCTGCTTGAAAGGAAACTAACCTAATGTCTTGCCGTTCCCCCCCCCCCAAAAAAAAAAACGGGGAAAAACGGTTGTATACACCGGACGCGACGGACATTTTGTGGCAGACACATGCGTATTTCCAGCCGTGTCCATTCAATGTTCTATACACGTTGTGTCTGGTAGGGCGTGTTCGGGCATTTAAACCGTGGACGACAAATGCCAGAGAACAAAAGAGAACAACATCGTCCGTGATTCCCAGAATACGTCCGCGATTGGGGTCGTGTAAAAAAAACATATGGGAGTCTTCCTAAAAAGTTGAGGTACAAACAAAAGGGGGATAATAAGACGTCCACGATTGATAGTGGGAATGTATGTGTGCGTGTTCAAACGTTTGTTTATGGTATAAATCGAGGACACGCACGTGCAACATCATCGATGAATTCAGGACAGGAACCGAGGACGACCTCGATAAGATAACGTTTACAAAACAATGAGTGCTGTTGCAAAAAAGTTTGAGTATAAACAAAGGAAAAGGGTAGAGGGAAAATAGAAAATTCTTGATTTACACCATAAACAAACGTGGGCGAGTGTGAGTATGATGTAGAGACGCTGCGTGGACGTATATATTCTACTTTAAATGCTCTTTCCAATTAACATGATTTCGTTAAAAACGCGTTTTGTTGCCCAATTTAGCGCACTCCAGGACGTTATGTCCCTTTATTATGTTTATTGTCCCTACACAATAGCGGGAACATTAACAGCACTCAAAATTGGCGTGACTGAATTTTATCAAGGACAAAAATGTGCGAATCTCAAGCTGCCCATGTACGTGTGATGCTGTACAGAACTCTTTGGGGATTAAATATTTACTCCTTGAGTGAGAAGCTGATATTCCTCAGCATTCACAAAAGTTAAGTTCTTGCTAACCGATATGATTGGTTTTTGCTTCCCCTCTTCCTATGGTCTTGCTTCCAAGACGTCCTTAAGTTCGTCGGTATCGAGACAAACATTATTGCTCAGGTTACAAAACTGAGAAATCGAAGAATTCAATTGTCGCTTGTTAAAACGACAAGAGACGTCTCTCAGCATGCTGCGCCCCTCAATGGTCCTCTAAGAATACTTACATGATCTCCAAGCTGTAGAGACTATGGAAACTAGCCCCGCTCAGAGTCTGTATCTTGTTTCCTACGATATTGCTGTCAAGAAGGGAAGTCCAATCAATTATTAGTCAATGAGCCCTCACGAAGGGATTTCATTTCAGGAAAGAAAACCTCTCGTGAAAAGCCTACATACGGCTGAACTGGACGATGACACGTATGTCTGGCGTAGTCGGGGGGGGGGGGGGTATTTACCCCCCCCCCATATTTTTTAAAGACTGCCTTTTTTCCATTCAAATGTCCTTTCTTTCAACGGGCTTAAACCCCCCCCCCCCCAATAATTTGTAAGGAGGGCCCTTTTTTACGAAGTACCTTTTTTCTGAACAAGTGCCCTTTTTCCAAAAAGAAGAGGTGCCTTTTTTTGACATCTGCCGTTTTGGGTGCCTTTTTTTCAGAATGTCGCACATGTATCGCCCTGAAAAGCACGAAATATTGGCCCTTGTGTGCATTATTGTCGGTTTTGAACAGCACTCCCATCGACAGATGGTACCAGCCCCCCCCCCCCCCACCCCCGCTTTATGATTTTTCAGAGGCAAAGTATCCAGAGAAAATAACCTGTCTACATTTCACTGGCTGTTTATCAAGCCTCACTCAGCAGGTACCGATTACAAAGAAGAGGAAGCTAGGATGGAAGTTATTATAGGCCTAGCTGCAGTACTGACGGAAAGTGTGATATAGCACATCAATTCTAAATCCATCTGTGCAAGGTTACATGTATATGCCTTTAATCAAATGGAGTAGAATTTTAGAGGGCAAAAAAAATAGAACGCATCATTACTAAAAGTCCCACTTTTCTCCACCTTGTTTGAATTTTGCCCCTCTCAGGGTTCATCTTGTTGTTCTTTTTTATAGTTACCGATACATATAATAACTTTCGCACTTACAGTTCAGTAAGTGACGTCAGTCCCTCGAACGCTCTCGGCTCGATGTATACAATATCATTGTTTGGTAGTTCCCTGGAGAAGAAAGGTCACACATTTCAGTAAATCGACAGTCTTCACCCCGGAAAAAAACCATATACTTGGGTTCAGACAAACTCTAATTCACTGAGCAAAAACTGTATCCTTGTCGTCAATAATGTAAAAGGCTATAAGTCTTACTTGCTGTCTAGTTGTGGGTAACTTCTGAAACATGCATGAGCTTTAACGGCCGGCACACGCTGCTAGATTAAAGGCGAATTCCAAATTATAATTCTAGCCGAGGCTCTTAGCGCTCTGAGCCATGGACGGTCAGGACCTTTCCTTTCGCGATTCCTCACCACGAAAGAGAGCACCGAAGCACCCGGTTTCATGCCATATATGGAATTGTGTCCATCGCAAAAAAATTACCGCAGCGAAGATAAAGCGACTGTTCTTTAACCATGCACACTTCGGTTGCCTGACCACAGTTTCTTCCCGTACGTGGGTTACGAGCTGCACACGTAATTACATCCAGCCTCTGATTTGCACTTTAATTGAACAGCAACAAGATGCGGAAACGATGGCATAATTGGGAAGTGATCGTATGGAGAATTCGGCTAGTCAAGTCGACGGCCGTAAAATAGATCCACGCAAAGCCAACCACAGAGCAAGCAAAGATTATAAATAAACGCATTATGAATATACAAAGGAGCATAACCTATTGTATGTTGATTTCAGATTAAGAACTAATATTCTGTCAGAGGTGACATGCGCGAGGGAGACACAAATTGTGATGATGTTTATTTATAAACATTAAAGCAATATTATGTGTACATGAATTACTCATAACTTTATCAGGACATTGACACAAGTCAATGACCAAACCGAGTGCTTGAAATCAAGTGTACATCCTATGGGTCCACCGTCACCCAGGGACTGATACTTACAGGTGAACCAAGTTAGGAGCGGCCACAAAGGACGAAGATCCCACCGTCCGTATGTTGTTGTAAGACACGTGCCTGCGGGGAAAGAAAACTTTCACTGTAACAAGATATCAGAAATTTGAGAGAAGCACTAGACGATGAGTTCAAACTTCCACACTATGTCTCTTTAGCTGGAATTCAGCGGGAACGCGTTTCAGCGGGAACGTGTATGTTGCCGATCCAGTTTTGGGGATCCGCATTTTATGTCACGGCTTCAAGCAATCCACATCAACGTTCGATTGAAATCATTTTCCCGCCTCCTCCCCTAACGTTCCTCCTTGGTATAATGGAGGGGGGGCACTTTTGGTTAGTCCATCATTGTGCTTTTTGTTACTGAAATGATTTTTCTTGGCATTTATTGGTGGCCCAGAAGAGGCCGAGCTCCATAAGTAGTGGTTTTGATGTAAAATTTGATCAGTTAACTCAACTTATTGTGCCCCGTGTTGTATCCACACGGGCTGATCCAGTTTAATACCCAATGAGGAGATCAGACATAATGACAAACATGTTATTCTAGAATATATATATATAGCCTGTGTAGTTCCACACGGGCTATACCCCCACTACATGGGCCAGATGTGGGGACTGTGCAATACATTTCGATACATGTATTTGATTTCGGTTATGATTAACCCTCAAAGGGGCAGGTCTTTAATCAAGACCTAGTGCATACATTGGAGCACCTATGTTGTTTACTCGATTTATGCTTTCACAACGGCCATTGTTGGTGACAGTGGTCACTGGGTATCACTATTGTCTTTGTGGTCTTGGCTATCACATTATTTTGTTGTGATCATGGGTATCACAATTGGAGTGATGGTGGTCATGGGTACCGTCTAATTGTTAATGTTCGGACTACCGGTCCGTGCTTAGTGATGTAGTATTATCCGGTTTGCACGTATTGGTATTCCGGAATATTAACGTTGGTTAAAATTGAAATAATGTTTTATGTTTTACTGTTTGGACTATCGGTCCGTACTTTAGTGCTATCCGGTTTGCCCTCAAGCTTTGGTATTCCGGTTGAATAACGTTGATTAAATTGAAGCTGTGGCGAGAGACACAAA